TATATTTAATATACTTACCATTATACTTACCCTTACAATTTCCTATAATTTACTCATCACTTTTTCCCCGTAACAATGTGTATTAAAATTTAAGTACATATTATCTTTAAATCAACAATACCTTCTACAGGGCATAAACTAAATATCTTTATCTAGGTTATTGCTTTCTTTTTTATAACTGAACATAACTTCAGCAACAGTAGAGAAGCACTAGCTTAAACTGTTAGATTATGGGGCACAACTCTTTAATATTTCACTTTTTTTACTTACAATAAATAAATTTTATTTTTACTTATGTTAGTTAGGATTTGGCTGACTTTTTTCTTTAATAGTAGCATTTCTGTTCATAGGTCATAACTTTATTATTGAGATAATAAATAGTTATATAGTTGGTAAAGGAGTATTGTAATTAAGATATAAGTAAGTTGGATAACTGGAGCCTGCTTCAATTGTTTGTTTTGTTATTTGGATTCATATAAAGTAAAGATTACTAGAACCCATGCAGGGTACAGGTTACAAACTCTCTTAATCTGATAAGCTATTGATTATTTTTTGTTATTATTATTATTATTACTGTTATTATGTTATTGTTGTTAAATATAGAAATTTTTTGTTAAAAAAAAACTAGTTATAAATGAGTTTGAACAAATTTGATATTGTTGTTAAGGGTAAAAAAATTTTATTGATTATTTGTTAAGTATAGATCTTTGAATGAAATAGAACTAATTATAGTTTTTGAGTAAATTTGAAAAGAATGTAAAAAAGTGAAAAAATAAGATAAGATATAGTATAGATGTTTAAATAAAGAAAAAAAATAAAAAATTTGCAAAGATTGTATTAAGACAAATATTAGATTCAGTAATTTTGTTTGCTATGTTTTATAGTGGTGATTATCCCTTCCAAGATGATGCATACTTGAAAAAGTAAGTTGTTAATTACAATATTTCTTATTTGATGCTTCAATTTTACTAATCACTGTATTTATTAATTGTACTATTGTTTTTACTATTTTTCTATTTAACTCTATCTCTCTTTCTCTATTGTTTGCTTTACAATTATATTACTATTTATATTGTTGCTACTACTAGAAAAACAATTAAGAGAAAATAAACTATTGGAACTAAAATAAATTATGATAAGTTATGTAAGCTTCTATGACTATATTTTCTATGCTGATTATTAATACTATTTCATATTTCCAGGGTATACAATGTAGTAATCACAATATGTAACTATATCCTATGACTTTTATAGAACTAATAATATGAAATAAAGTTGTATAGTGGTTTCTGATTTGAATTTGTTTTGTAATATTATCAAAACCCATACATGGCACTGATTTCATACTCTCCCAATCTGATAGGTTGTTATATAGTTTTGATTTTGTTGAAAGTTATACAAATGTTGATTGATGTATTGAATATAGTATATTTTTTGACAAAGATAAACTAAATATGATTTTTGATAAAGAAAAATTATGTAAAAATTATAGAAACTGGATAGAAAACAAAAAACTTAGAAAAAAATAAAATGATATCTTTTGAAATAGTTATTAAGATATTTGAAAAAAAAAGTACTATGTAATTTTTTGTATAGAAATGAATAAAAAGATTTTTTTTTGACTTGGAGATAGGTTTCACTTGGTAAAACAAAGAATTTGTTCAAAAAGGTTTTTGCTTTTCCCAAAGCATTCACTTCTCTAAGGAGAGTTAATTGACCCCTTGCATTCTGCAGTAAGCAAAGATAAGCTCCTTTTCTAGTGTAATTGTTTGCTATCTGCTGTTTATGTAATTATCAAAAAAGGAAAATTTTTATGAATTGGAGTGTTGTGAAAAAGAGTTTTTTTATGACATTAATTTTTAAATTCACTGTAATACAATAAAAATATTTTGGTTTTAAAATAAACAAAAAAAAAACATTAAGATTATCATATTATAATGATTTAATAATTTTTTTTTTCATTCGAACTAATAATTCTCATCAAAATACTTTAGTGAATTTTATAAAAAAATTTACGATGAAATTATTGTTGGTCAAAATTTTTGTTAGGTTCGAGTTTTTTTTTTTTTTATGAATAATAATATTTTTTTTAAAAAAAAAATATAAATTGATAAATTAATATAACAGATGTAGCATATAATATATTATGTGCTGTATTGATTTGTTGGTAGATTAGCTCAATAGTAAAACTTCCATTTGTACACCTCGATAAAAAAATATATATTTATTTGTTTTAAAAAAACTTGCGTATATTGTATTTAACTGGAAATGTATTAAAACCATACATTGTATGAAAAATAAACATTTTTCGGCGACCCTTGTAAAATTTTGTAAATTGATTTTAATGAGATGAGAATGGTTAAATAAATTTATGAACCTAACTATATATCCGTGATTTACCTGTGACAAAATAAAGTAAAAAACAGAGGGAGCAAAGAAAAACCACAATGAATAGATATAATTTAATACATTACAACCGATAATGAAAGATGAATATTTCAGCATATTGTATATGGTGAAATAAACACGTAAATCTTATTGTTGATAATTGCGGTTAGTGTTGTAATAATAATACGAGAAACCCAAACGGAGTCAATTTTGAATTAAGCTCAAACACGTTGACTTTCAAAAAATAAAAATGTTAACTAAAAAAATCCGCGAAATAAACACCTTTCCAAGGAATTTGCACCGAAAAGAAGAATGAAAAGAATCGATGAAACAAGTAAATAAGACTCCGTGAATCATTTTAAAATTTAAAATTGTTAAATTGAAAGATATTTTCCAGGCCTAACACGTAGATAGAACTATAATGAATATCATAACGCTAATGAACTTTGAAACCTCATAACTTGTGAATATCTTCCGAATTTCAGATTTATAACAACAAAAATTGCATTAAAACCGAGTTACGCAAGTATTTGAAAAAGAAATTCTTTATCTATTCATTCACATGAACTCGACAATTGGCATTAAAAATAATAAGTATAAATGGCACGTTACGCTTTATCGTGCCACACAACATATTCAATTATTGTCGGGGACCCGCAAAGTAACTATTGGTGTTCGAAACATGATTTGTGATGATATGCGCATGGTCACACAATATTAATTTTATGTTCTTTGTGTAACATTTATTGTGTACATAATTGTACGTTAAATTTGTCTAATAAGAAATAGGTAAATAATTACACGACTATCTTTACTTTCTTCATTTGGTTTAGTACCAATTAAATTTTATCATGGAAATCCACGAGAAAGTCAAAGAAAAAACGTGTTTTAACCTTTTAAAGCTTTTAGGGAATAATGATAATCAAGAAAGTATATTACGAAAGCATTTATTAAATCAGGCATGAAAATCCCAGTGAATTAATTATAACGGGCGAATAGCATTTTTGCAACTTCCATGGATATTATTTAAATTATTACAAGTATCTGTATTTACTAAACACCATCATTAAATTACGAATCTATGATATTGTTGTGACATTCTATTGAAGAGAAAACAACTCTGAAAAAATTATATTCTGTAAATTTTTTAAATTTCATGACCAACCATAATCAACCATATTTAAAATAAGTAGAATGCTATAGCAAACAAAGTAATTGACAATGTCGAAACACTAGCCATCAAGTTGTTGCCACTACTTGATTTAGCTACCGGAGATTGCGTAGTCGTAGGTCCACTGTTGCTCTTGGCGGCATCTCCAGTTTTAGTTGATGTTGTCAAATCGGTCAAAGTTGATGTTGTACCTGTTTTAGTTGAAGTGGAAGTTTTGGTGGAATTGAGCGACGTAGTAGCCGTGGAGGTGCCTGTGGAGGAAGACGAGTCGGTGGAGGTGCCAGATACAGCACCTGTACTGCTAAAGTTGGGAACTTTGCCGCTAACGCCTTTTATGGTGAAATCTCCAGAGAAGTAAAGATTGGTGTCTTGAGAAAATTTTAGGAAGCTAATTTAAGTTTTGGTGAGGCATGAAATGTAAGTTGATGAGATAATATTAATAAGCACAGAATATAATATTTGGAATTCATGCTCACTAGCTGCTCCCTTCAGGACCAACGTTCTTTGGTACGGTATAACTGTATGATAAAGATGTTCCGTCGACGTTAGATGCAATCACTACCACTGGGAATTGAGACTCCTGTGTGCCTGTGGGTTTTTTTTTTTAAAAAAGAAATTTAATAATCCGCTCGATGAAAACTACATTAAGCTCATTCTTCAATTCACAATGTGTACCTGTCATCAGGGTAATGGTCAATTTCTTCAAAGAAGTCAATGCTGGCGAATTACCATTTTCCTTCCATGTAATCTGTTGAGTCTCCCCACCATTCCACACAATTCCAGTATAAGGGTTAAGCACTTCAACGCCTGCATTTACGGGAGTGGTGATGAGAAAGATTAAGAGTGAGGCGACAGCAAAGATGAGTCCCAGGGATTTCATATTTGAGGTTATGCGATAGTACGAGAGAAAGGTAATGCGTTGTGTGTATGGGATGTGTAAGTGAAATGGATAGAAGAAGAGGTGAATGAGGTGAGAGGAGGAGTGAAGTGGACGAGAAAAGAGGGCGTAGGCGAGCGTGCTATGAACAACAGAAGAAAGTGGATGAAGAAGAATGAAATATAGGTCGGGTGAATAAATACTAAATTAATGCATGAAATTTTTGTGACACAACGCAATGTGCACATCGTTTATTTATATTATGTGATCATATTGGAAAATTATTTTTTTCGATCAATTCCATAATGGGAAACATTTAGTTATTAGGGGTAAATCTCCAATCACTAAAAGCAACCGATAAGGAACGAGCCGAGCATCATACCGGAGATTACACTAGTCGGACATTTATGGAAATTTCGAATATCTCTTGTTTCGTTAATGTGTGACGGACTGTTTATAGAAAAGTTCGTGGCGCGGGACTCGTGGCTCACCAGAATCGGACTACATGAATAAGGAAATATTTCTTTCCCGAGCGGTGTTACGAAAATAGATTCCGCCGTTAAAAATTTGATCAACCGGATCTGGTTGTTGATGGACAAAGAAAAGGATCGGATATCGTATATGCAATCAATAAAATACACGGGAAATTCGAATTTGTATAATTTAAGTATTTTATCTGAAGCAAAAAGAAAAGAAAACAAACCACCACACTATCAAGTTTCACATTCACTACATATCACGATTCAAAATACTGCATAAATTCTTATAGCATGCATTTGCTACTGTTTAACTTATTTGAGCCGCAAAATGATAAAGTGTTGAATTATTCAACCATTTTTGAAAATAAAAATTTTATCAATAATATTAACGCATATAGCGGATCTATATTAGTTCATTATCAATCTATCATATTAAAGATTTAATTAGGATCTTTTACAGTATATAGAAGAAGCATTGGACGAATGAATGAACCATTTTTTTTATTTTTTGATTTAATAAAGTATTCACAACTTTGTTTAATAAAATCTAGCATTTTTAATTATTTACAATATATGCATTTTTCATTTTCTTTATTGAAAACGTTTTCTTTTAAAAAAACCAAATTTAAAATTTCAACAATATTGAATAAATAAAATTTGCTGACAATAAAACTGATAATCATTTTCACTTGTAAAAATTTATATTATAAAAAACCTTTTTTACTAAAATAATATTGATATTAATTAAAAATAAATTTATTAATATTTCAAAATAAGAATAATATTTCTTTAATATAAATATGACGATATATATAATTTTATTTAAATTTATTTATTTAATTTAAATATTAAAAATCTGTATATTTAAAAATTTTTTATTGAATATTCAAATACAAAATTGTATAAAAAAATTTTATAACTTTATAAAATTAGAAATAAATTAAAAACAATGGTTTAACTTTTTTATTTTTAAAAATATTTTAAAATAAAAATGTTGTTACAAGTATTAATTTTTTAAATTTATTTTCAAATATCAAATAAAAATTTTAAACATATGTAAAATAAAAAATTTTAAACATGTGTAAAATAAAAAATCAATAATAATTAATTTCATCTATAATTATATAATTAGCTTTTTTTATAATAATAAAAAAATTTTTTATTGTTCATTATAAAATTAAAAATTTAAGTTATATTATAATTTGAAAAAAACTTTAATTTAATTTAAATTTTATTAAATTATAAATTAATTAAATTATGTTGTCTTTTTTAATAAATATTTTAAATATTTTAAATTATTATTACGTATATTAAAATATTTATATATAATTATAAATTTTATTTAATATTTTCATATACTATTATAATGATATACAGTATTATAATTAAAATTAATTTTTAAACTATTTATAAAAATAATAAACCAATAATTATTATAAATATATAAATTTTAATTGATAATTGATAATTTTAGAAAATTATAAAATATTGTTTTTTATTTAAATAATTTATAAAGTATTTGATTTATAAATTTTTTTAAATTTTTTAAATTTGATAAAAAATATTTTTATTTTTATTTTTTTTTATATCTATAAACATTGTTTTTTTATTTAATTTGTATATTATAAGATATATAGTATATTATAAAAAAAATAATATTTGTTATATTAATATAATAAATTAAATTAATTATTAATTTATCTGTAACAATTATATAATAAATTTAAAAAAAAAATTTAAAACAATATATTTTGTTAAATAATATTAAATAGTTATTAATATTTATTCAATATTAAGAAAAAAAATTCTTTTTCACTCCCCCTTCTGCACTTGAAAATTTCCTTTTTAGGAAACTTTTGAGTTGTTTACTCTTTTTTTGTTTTTTCCTTCCCCTTCCCTATACTTTCTTCTCTTCCTCTTCTCTTATTTTTCCTCTCCTTTCTTTAAAACTCTTTTTTAACCATCTTCCCTCCCCTTTCTCTTTCCCCAATCCCTGCCGAAGTAAGATTTTTCCTTTTTCCTGAAGATTTTTTCTCTCTAGGCCTCTCTTTTCTTTTAATACTCCACCTCTTATCTCATCACTCCTCTGACCAGTGGACCTTTTTCTCTTAGGAACTATATAAGAAGTGACAAGGTTTCTATTGGATGTGAGCTATAGAAAGTTTTCCCTCCATGGCTTCTCAGAAAAAGAATGAACGGTTTACCCCCTCCAAAAGATTGATATGGCCATAATTACCTAATCCAGTGTTGTTTACTTATTGATGGTTAGACTAGATACATCTAAAAAACTGGTATACAACTATTATTATCTGAAAATATCCAAGGAGTTGCGCCCACAGTATCCAGAAAGATATGGCAGCCAATGCCAATGCAACTAACAGTAAACTAGGTTAGTCTGCAGGTGTCATGCTGGTGATTGGAGAACCTAGTAATATAATACGTGAAGATCAAGAATTCTAGTTACCCTCGCAACATGAGCTGGTGACAACAACGAAAGTTCCTCATCTATCCATCCGACAATGTATGTTTCATTGTATAAGGTTAGGTATCAGCACCTTTAAGAAATTCAAAACCAAACTCCACCTATGAAACACTCTGCCACATTTGAGAAATAAGTGTACCAAATCCTTTTCATAACTTGGAGTCAAACCTGTATAAAGTGGCTGCAGCGCCTTCATATAAAAAGATAATCACAAATAAAAAACTTCCTGACACTACTCCGTCTGCCAAACATCAAGCCACATTTGAGAAGCAAACATGCCAGTCCTACTCATGATTTGGAGGCAAACCTGTATAAAGTGGCTGCAGCACCTTCATGTGATTAGACATTCAAATTAATTTCTAAGTAGCTAGACGTTATTCAAGGCCATAATATAGGTTTTAAATATTCTTTTTTACTGTATTTCTTAAATGGTGCCAAGGAGCTTAGGGGTGACCTTTATAGGCTTTGCATTTAACTTTTCCTAGTAAAGAGAGATGTATGTCATGCTTCTCATGTTATAAATCTTGTAACTCGCAAGTTCAAAATTATAATAATAAACGATAACGTGATAGCCATTTGCTTCTTCAAAAAAAAAAAAAATTTATTCAATATTAAAAAAATAAATTTAAATAAATTTAATATTAAACTTTTTTTTTTTTTTTTTTTATAGTGGAACATACACAAGGTGCATGATCTTTTTTGATACATTTTATATCCAGACAGACACCAAGGGTCTCTACAAA